GTAAGCAAGCAACGGCAAATAAAAGCAAATAGGACTTGTTCTTTTTTTCCATTTCACTTCTCGTATTTTATTAATTTAAATAATTTAAAATGGACACAAAATATCCAGCCAACAGTCTGCACAGTAACAGGAGTTTCAGAGGCACCTTTTCCGTCCAGATTAAGTCGGCGCTTCAGTGTGTTTCCTTGGGAAATGTAGACCCGGCATGCAGTTAGAACTGTGAGAAAACCTGCCCGAGAAACCCTGAACGTGTAACGAGACGAATCCTATTGAGCGGGGACGTTTCCTGTCTTCTCCGGAGGCCACACAGCTGGTCTGAGAGCACAAACTGCTTTTTTTGTTTTTTCTTTTTTGTCTTAGGGAAGCAGGCGTAGTTGAAGCGACTCACATCACAGTATGCCTAATACAGAGAACAGATGATTCTTGTTTTTTATAAAAGTTACCCTGTTCCCTTACAGCCACTGATCTACGTCTTCACACACAACCACGAGACAGCTGAATATGGATATGTCAATTAAAAACGACTTTTGAAAATACTGGACAGTGAAACAATTAGAAAAAAAAAAAAAAAAAAGCCATACCAGACTTCCTACACTCTGCTGCTGCTAACTCTTTCCATACCTTTACTTCATTCAGATCTAAATACGAAACAGACGATTTTAAAAAGATCATTTCATCTCTAAATGGTGCAACTTGCAAAATCGCTTCACTTGAGCTCAATTTGAAAACCTGACTTTAATTAATTAATCCTGGTTTGGACTCAAGAGTGAACCGCGCTGTGCAGTACACGGTACCATCACAGCAGCACGGACCGAGAGACGCTGTAAAAAGAGCTGAGATCGAGTCCGAGACCACACAAGTTATGTCTCGTTAAAGGACGAACATGTTCTCCGTCACTCATTCGGAACAGACCAAAGGAAAGCTGATGGCATGATCTCCGTGTGCCTTCTGTCTTGATGCGTTTGGTGACGTCTTCAGGTATGGAAATAATTAACAGACCTGTAATGCCAACAGGACGAGCCCAACCGGAGGCAGAACCAAGGGTGAGGTGTGAGTACAAAGTGGACAGTCTGGGTCGGGGGTAGAAAGAGTCAGAAAAAGGGAACAAAAACTTCGTCAGCACACTTCAATATTTATATTTACACTCTCGCACTCGCACACATACGCACACGCCCACTGAGAATCTCGCCGAGGTATTAAAGTCGCCTCAATGCTCGCTTTTTATCTGCTTTCTTTTTCCCTGCTACGTTATTGGTGCTACTACTGCTGCTGTTGCTATTGCTGCTGGTGGTGCTGGCTCCGTTGGCCCCATTGCCCAGAGCTGCCGGCACCGCCGCCACGCTGGGCCCCGCCCTCTTCGTTGGGTCGCCCGCGTGCTTCTTGGGCTGCGGGCCGTCGTTGGGGTCCTGAGGCGCCCCGGACGTGCCGCCCGGCCCGCCCATGGCGTGGATCTCTGTGAGCAGACGGGCTCTGGACTCGTACTCTGCATAGTCCTCCAACAGCAAGCGGCCCGCCTCCTCGTTCAGAGCCGACTCCGGGTTCGGATGGATCAGGAGACACTTGATTGTCTGCAAGGAAAAGATCAGTTTTAATACATTACTCGATAAGAAGGTGAAGGTCGTGCATATCAGAGGATGCAGGTCAGCTGTAAAGTGGCGCCTCCTGCTGTTCAATCACACAGCGATCAGAGTTCGGTGTTGGCAGTGTTGACTAGTTCTAGCGCTAGTTCAGAGCCGGAGCCTGACTTAGCACCAGCTCTTTATGTTTCCACTGCCTCGGCACCGGCTCCAGGTTCTCAGAACTGGTGTTTAGCGAGCACCAAATCTTTGCTGGGCCAGAGCTAAGAACCGTCAGGGGCTGGGGGCGGGGCTATCACGACCACCGAGACCGATGGATGGGACGCACAAGCAGTGACACAGGACATCGCTGGTCCGGTCACAGATGTACTGGAATGAGTCCCAGGACACACAGAAGTTCTGCACAAACTGCTGGGCTGAAATCCGGTACAACTGTGTCTCACCAGCAGCACCACAGTGGTGGAAAACAGGACTTTTATAACTTCAGTGTACTGCAGTAGTTACGCTTAAAAAAAGCAGCCTTCTGGCCGCGGCTGTAGCTCAACTGGTTGAGCTGGCGTCCCATGTACAGGGCTACAGTCCTGATGTGGAGGTCATGGGTTCAAATCCCACTCATGGCCCTTTCTTGCAGTTCCTTCCCCCATTCTTCTGTCTCTCTTTCACTTCACTATCAAATAAAGGCACAAAGGCCAAAAAAACAACTTAAAAAAAAAAAAAAAGAAATGTGGTCTTCTCATGAAAAACAGAGCGCACCTGTTTATTGTTTATTCCGCTCATAGAAAAGACCGCATGAGAAAAAAAATCACTCAGTTTCATCTTGGACCAATCTGACATCAGAACGCCCTGGTTTGCTCTTTCTAGAGTCATTTCTGGTCACACACCGGTCCAACAGCAGCTACCACAGCCGGCCATGTGGGGCGTTCAGGGAACATCAGAAATTGTAGAGTCTATCGATAAGAAAATGTTCAGCGAGTCACATGGTCTGCCTGTGACAAGGTGGGAAGTGCGGTCGCACCGGTGAAAAAGTTAGTCTGGAGACCTCCGAGCGTTGTTCGGTAAACGTATGCAGTGATGTACGCCGTGGCTCTAATGGAAACACAAACAGCTTCTTAGAAGGTGCCAGATTTGAGCCAGCTAAGCACTGGCACTAGCACCTGGTTCGTCTTGGTGGAGAAGGGCTACGTGTGGTAAAGGTTCATCATGAGAACGTGTCCTGTGACGCTTGACGAGCACCAGCCAGAGCTCCAGTGTCGACTGAAGTGTGCTCTGACAGCATCACAGTGAGGTCGAGGCTGATTGTCTATGAGCAGCTAATCCTGAACACGTCTGCACACATTTGGACACATTTCAAGACACACCAGAGAAATTCAGAGTCACTTTGGACAACTGTCGAGTCATTTTATTACACTTTGAATTCTTGTGGACAAATCTGGTTATATTTTAACTCATTTTGCATGAATTTAAAATCCTTTTGGACAAACCTGTTCCCACCTTATCATGCAACAGTCCCCCACCTGGAATCAAGGAGCTGCCTTATACGCTACTGATAGATTATACTCCATGATCACTGTTTGCACCTGTACCTATCAATAAGTGAAGTCACTTCATGAGACCTTTATTATATCTTTATTTTTAGCCTTATTGTACTTCTTGTCCTGCTTCCTCAGCGTACATTTCCCCAGTGAGGGATCAATAAAGTTCATCTTGTTTATCTTATTGTGTGACTTTTTTCCTTTCCTTTGGACAAATTTTGACTCATTTCGGTCATTTTTAAAACCCATTCTGGGCAAATTCTGAATCATTTCGGACAAATCTAAATGTCTTTGGAGCCTTTTTGACTCATGTATATTGTGTTGATGGCTACGACAGCGTCACTATAAGTGGTGAAGAAACCTTTAATATCCTCGAGACAGAAATGTGAAGTTCAGAGCAACAAAGACAGGCGGTGGTTCTTACGAGTAGGACGTGTCTGAGGCCGAGTTCTGCCTTCCAGTCCCTCTTCAGCACGTTGACACAGATCTCTCCCTTGTGGCCCACGTTGGGGTGAAAAATCTTGGTCAGGAAATACCCCTTGGGTGGAACAGCAGGGAAGTCCTTCCCGAGGACCAGACGCATTCGGAAAATGCCACCAGCAAACGGAGTTCCCTCTGTCAAAGTATAAAGAATTCATGGAGTGAGCAGTACATCCCGGCTGTGCCAAACTCCACCAGGACCAGAAAGAAAAGAGGGTCACAGAGCTAAACGCACCAGACAGCACATCCAAGTCAGTCACAGGTCACAGAGCAGCTCGAACTCCTCGTGTTTACATGACAAACACTGAGCTTCACTTTAATTAACAGAAGATCCAACACAACGTACCGTATCGCTACGCAAGCACACGGCGGGATGATTTAGGAAAAACGTCTAGTTGTGACTTTTCTTTAAAACGCTGAAACACAACTTCAACATTCAGTGTGTGATTTAAAATGTGCTGAAACACAAGAGACGCCATCAAAACATCGCCTGCTCTATATTCTGAGGCCTCGTCCACACGGAGCAGGTATCTCACAAAACAAAGATGTCTGCCGACGGTTCGTCCTGTCGTCCACACGAAGGCGCAGATTTACAGCATTAAAAACGTTTCTTTCAAAAACCTCCGACTAAAGTGAAGATTTGCTCCGTTTGTGCGTCTGCATGTGGACGTCAATAACCGGGTTTTAGGTTTGGAAACATCACCGTCTGCGACTAAATCTGTTCTTACGTCACGTGTGCGACCGTGTTTACATCAGAAACAGCGCGGACGCCCTCAGAACCGTGTTTTCTCTGGTCCAGGCCCAGATACCGGCTCCACGTACAAGAACACAGGACGATGTTTAGGACGGTTATTGTACGACGCTGAGGCTCACTCTGATTGGACAGGATGTGAGGAACTCCTGCCACCTAGAGGTTTAGCAGCTTATGAAGGTGCTTAACACACCTGTGTGGTTAGGTGTGGATGATTATTTTTTCTAAAAACGAGGTGGTGTGTCGGGGGAGGATATTCGGTTTTATAAAAACCCTGCTGCGTGTGGACGAGGCCTGATATAAGATCTAAACTGCAAATACATTAGACCACCTGTCTCATTCTTTAAGCACTCAGCTCTCCATGTTTCACCATTTTGATCAGGAATGAAGAATTTAAACTGAATTCACTTTTTTAGACCCAAATCTGAGCCCCGGGGCTTCTCTGAGGAGTCAACATCCAACCACGAAAACTACATTATCTGTTCAGGAATGCCAGTAAATAACTATAATCTGACATCTTAATGCAGAAAGAATAATGTGCTTTACTGTTTGTTTGTTTTTTATTTGTAAAACAATAGATTTATAAATTCCTGGATAACAACAATAATTATATTTTAGCATTAAAGACATGATTTGGGTTAAAGAGTTTCTACATACTGGTGTATGAACCATTACAGAAACAGAAAAAGTGATGTCGGTAACGACCAATGCTGCTCACTTAGTGCAGCTGTGACATAAACCTGACACTGGTGGAGGTCTAATACATTAGTGAAGCTCTGTATATGACGAATGAGGTGAGAGAATGCAAAATCACAATCACCGTGACAGCGTTAAGTCGAAAGAATAAAGCATAATGATAAAATATAAATAAGCTCCGGTTCAGACGTAACGTATATCCTAAATTGCAGCCTTTGCGATTTGCTAATTGCGTCGTTTCAAACTGCGGTTTCAATTTGAAACCTATGAAGTGTTCAGCCCTAATTGCCACTTGAACATAATTAATACATTATCTGATCCGATATCTGCAACCAGCACCTCATAAATTAAAGCGGCGCGGAGAGAAGGCGCTCTGTGGAGGAGTTAAAACTGTGGACGAGTGTCTGGCTCCTCAAGGCCTCCTTAAAAATAACAAGGTCTGCAGCGTCGAGTGCACAGCGACACGGCGGCGTGGACACCGCCGGCTGTGCGCCTCGAGTGGCTGATGCGTCTCACACGACGTTAACGACACCCACAAAATACCGCTGTCATGCAGCGATATTGCTTCTCAAGGAGCCGCGGAAGAAAATAGGAAAAATAGGAGCTTTAATGTACGCCTGAGAGTAATGATGCACAACGTGAATTATGTAAAGGAAACACTGAGGATTTTAACTTTATCTGTGCAGCAGAACCCGTCTGAGAGGCGACCGGCCCAGAGCTGTCATTACCTGGAGCCGATAATAAAAGGTCGGGCGTCGAGTGGAATCTCTCTTCGCCGTCACATATCACATTATGAGGCGTTTCAGTGAGTGTGCAGCAGTGGGCAGCTAATATACTGTCAGTATGACGCAGAGAAGCTGCTGCTGCTGCTGCTGTTGGAAACACACGAGGAAACAGAAGCTGCACCGACTACAGTCAGCTGCTGTTCACACAGACAGGCGGTTTATGGGACGTTGTGGTGTTCTGAATAATGTTAACGTGACGAATAAACCTTCAGATTTAGGGTGGAAGTGATGAACATGAAACTTATTTATCGTCTTTAAATGATCAGCCCAAGAATGTTGAACTCCTGATCGCACAAACGTTGAATTAATCACAGAAAAATGTAAATGTTAACCAGAAAAATGGCCAAAACTGGAAATTATGTACACATCAGAAATCTGTATTTTCACAAATAGTAACCTGTTCTCTAAAAACACTCGACCGTAAAACACTAAATACCAACAAAAACAACATATTTGAATCAGAAAAAAACAGACATTGTACAGATATTTGTCCTAATTTGAAAGAAAAAATTATGCATAAGGACTAAAAAACAGTAAATATTTTTCACTGTTTTGTTAAATTACAGAAAATATCTAATAAAAAAAATATCACAAATAATGTCCTATTTACGGGCTGACTGGAAAAAATAAATTTAAAAAAGGGAGAAAGCTGTAAATCGGTCTCAAAGCAGACGGCAAACATCCCACGTGTGGATCTATACCTGCACATAACATCCCCCCAAACAGAGCCGAGATTAGAATAAGTCCGCTCAAATAAAATAAACGTTAAAATTAGAAATTTAAAAAGGAAAAATATATATAACAGATACACAGTCTTAAATTTCAAATCAGATAAAACAGCTTTAAATGAAATTTGTTCTGCGACAGTGTTGGACTGTAAATTTACAGTTTTACTTTGTTTAAATCACATAAAAATATAATGTGATTTTATAGATATTTGCTTTTTTTTTTTTTTTTAAACAGGCTTTGAAGGTTACAGGTTTTAGTGATTTCTTTACATTTTCTTGTGTATTCAGTCATTTTATTTGGGCTTCAGATGCTTCCACTGACAGTGCGACAGCTCAACATCAAGCACAGGCAGAAACTGATATATTCCAGTGAAAGACGCTGCTGTGTGGGGCTTTAAAACTTAAATAAATAAAACACAACACTGAGTTTCCCGCTGCAACCCTCATCGTAGCTAAGGTCAGCCTGGCTGGACGCTGTGATCCTCACCTGGTCCTTCGATGGCCGTGTGAAGCTCTGTGATGTCTTCTTCGCTGGGGTAAATCTTGATGCCCTCAGGTGGGTCTGCTGCTAAAGCCGAAACCTCTTTGTAGACCAAGCGAAGAACATGAGGGGGCAAATTCTCCACATTGGAGTTCTGCAAAGAGACGACACAACGCTTCAGCCACCTCACATGGGTTTCATGTACAAACAGAGCACTGAAAGGGAAAGTCTGAGGAGTAGGGGTAATTTGAAAGCAACGAGAGAAGAGATGAAGGTGCGAAACCCACGGGGGATACCTTACCGACGAGCCAGACAGGAAGCTGAATGTCTGTATACACTGGATGTAGTAATAATGGCAGGGCTGCACAGTTTATCATTTAACACTCAAATGAACTCAAACATCACGTTACGACGTCTTCTGTCATTTTCTTTGTGTTTGTTGATACGCAGCCCCCACGTGTAAAATAAAATGACTCGTGTGAAAACATTTCCGTTGCAGAAAGAATGACGTTGACCACAGCCGCCACACGAGGAAACTATTAGTTTGACCGTTTAAATCATCGGCACAAAGCTCTGAATGAGACGCATCTGAATGTCATCCAAAGTAAAAATAAAAAATGTTCTGGACGTCTTTGTCAGTGTTACAAGAACGGCTCCAAATGTTGTTTTTTTTTCCTATACTATTTTTAATGCAGATGCAGTCCTACATTGATTAATTCCTTCCAAATGGAATTATTCAAGCCGTCTGCAGAATATCCTGAATTTTTTATCATTTCGTGGATAAACTGAACAACAGTGTCAGTTTTTCGTGCCGTCAGCCTGAGACGACGGTCTGAAAGACACACTTTGAACACAGAGCAGAACAACCTGCGGGTGTTTTTGACAGATATTTACAATTTAAAGACAGCCTTCATTTACAGTTTACCTGCTCAATATAGAAATGGCATCCAACGTGTATTTATGGCCATTTTCAAAATGGCATAGAAGATGGATAAAGTACCACAACAAACACAACAACAACAACAACAACAATAATAATAATAATAATAATAATAATAATAATAATAATAATAATAATAATACAGAAATAAATAATTCCAAAAATCCTTTCTGTGAATAGTTTCTAACATTGCAATAGGTCATCATGGCTCAGGAGCTGCAGGGATTAATTGAATTAGTTTTCCATTAATAAATCAATTACCAACTATTTTGACAATTAACTAATTATTCAGTAGTTTTTAGTCCAAATTCTATGATTGCATCAAATAGTTTCTGGATCCTTTCCTCCTCTAGGACACAGATCCACATTTATTGCCACTTTTCCGACATTTTAGAGACCAATCAACTAATCAATGAGCACAAAAAAAGAAAATAACATTTTTAAAAAATCAGCAATGAAAATAACCTAGTAATAATAATGATAATAGTAATAAATAAACTCTATGTCTGACAAATAAAGCGCACACTAAATTTCTGTCTTTCTGTTTACTAATTGCATTGTTTCAAACAGCTAACTCAATTTGACATTGATTAATTGATCAGCCCTAATACAAGCACGTGACATGATGTGATCATTACAACACAATAGATTAGAAAATAAAGTTCTATCTAATCTAATCCAACGGGTTTCAATGATCACATCAATGAAGAGGAAATCCTCCACCAGCACCACCTGAGATCTTTACTGATGTTTTACTATAAACACGTGGAGGGTTTTATATGTTCGGCTGCTCTTCGTCTTCATCTTTATCTTCATTTTATTCATATTTATATTACATTCATTCGGAAAACGGACCTTGCTGCTGTTTTGGGTTAGCTCCAAAGTTTCCCTGTTCACACACCTTGTTGACAATCTTTACTGGAGTCAAACTAGTCTTAATTTAATTTAACAACCTTATAATCACGACAGCCTGATTACACAAGTCCATCAGGAGGAGAACCGGAGCGTCCTTTACTATCACACAGTCGATAGGTAACTTTACGTTAGCATTACTAGCCTAGCCTCAGCCAGTTAACATTAAAGCTGCTCGGTAGCTTTAAAACCTGTGATACGGTGTAAATTACAATAAAAGCACTTAATAAAACACAACAATGCAGACGGTGAATGAAAAATAAAGATAAAGAAACTCCAGCAAATAGACACAACCCACATAAATACAAGAAAACCATCGACGGCTGGCGACGGCTAAACATCGGATCAAGCTAGCAGCTAGTCCCGTTAGCCCCGAGCACAGAGCTCGGTCCTCGGGCTTACCATCTTCGAAAAGCCGGTCTGCTGGGTCGGTGGAGGTCCGGCTGGAGTCCGAGAGAAGGAGCCTTTTCTGTGAACGTCTGGAAAAAGTATATTTAACGGAAACTTCGCCGGCTCTCGCTGCTTCTTTTCTTCGTTACGTTGACACAGGAACAAAAATACGATCCTCAGTTTAACCTACTACCGCCGACCAATGAGCGTCTTAGTGACACGGCACGTCAGAGAATCTGAGCCAATGACGCTACGGTGTTGCCGTTGCGTCACAGTGGGACGCCCTATCAGCCACAGAGAGTGAAAAATAGGAGCGATATCAGGCGGTGATTGGTCCGTTTGAAAAACGCACAGCCCTGATCAATACTGAGGATACACATCTGGTGTATGTGATGCACACAATGTAAGGATGCTGAATAAAGGAATGAACACAGACGTGCAGTCAAACAACGAGCTCGTTCTCCAGACTCCACAAAGAACGAATAAAACTGATCACAGAGAAGTTTTTCTTGAAATCTAAAACTGAAAACACAAACTTTGGAAGTCCTGTCCTTTACCTTAAAGTATACAACAGCAGTGAGTACAGCCCTGTACAACTACATATGAATTAAAAATGAAAAGATAAAACATTGAACCACCAAATGAAATACGTTTTATAAAGAATATTTTACATTTTCAGGCCCCAAAGTAAAAGTTCAAAGCAACAAAAGTGAATTCAGCTGTGATCAGTGAAACCAAACTGACTCCAGCTGTGATTTCCAATCAGTCCAGCTCCATGAACATGGTTCTACAATGAGCTGAGAGCAGCAGAACCTTCTCAGTTCTGGACCTCTGGACTGTGTCTGTGTCTGCATCATGGCTCCACGTGGAGAAGACCTGAACAGAGGAGGAGAAACATCTGACTGAGAGACTGGACAAAGATGGAAAAGGATCCAGAAGATCAGTGAGCAGCTAGAACCCAGTGAAGCCCAGTGTGAGCAGGAACCAGGAGGTCCAGAAGGAGCCACAGCAGCACTGATCAGGGCTGCAGTGGTCGTCCTCCTACAATGACTCCACGGACAGTCAACTACTGTCACTATGGAGCTGTGGACACCAGACAAAGGCAGCTGCTTCAGACTTGGCACAGGGCTGATCAATGGAGACCAGAGTTAGTGTGAAGCTCACACAGTGTGAAGGACACTTCAGAACATCAGCCTCTATGGACGGAGGAGCAGAACTAAACCTGGCTGCTGCTCACAGCTAAACTTCCACATCAAAGTTCACCAGAGAACATGAACAGAAGCCTGATGGATGCTGGAGAACATCCTCTGGTCAGATGGAGATCAATGTGTTGGGCTCACATGGAGTCCAGATGTTTGGTGTGAACCTGACCAGGACCACCACAGTGGATGCATGGTCCTGACAGTGAAGGACTGAGTTCCTACTGTTGGACCTGTCTTTTTCATATAGGAAACATCACTGTACATAATAGGAAGTATTCATAACTTAGAAGTAATCTGATTACTGTAAGATGATGCGGTTTTGAACCATTTGACATTGAACTGATGTTGCACAGGATGGAACAAAGTCTGACATTTTTGAAGGTGCTGCCTCTGTACACTCTTAACCTGAGAGATTATATCTGTTTCTATGATCATTCAGAAGATGTTTTTGAATCATTTCATCATTCTATGTGATTTTTTTAAATTAACAAATAGAGATTAACCCCTCGTTCTACCTCTTGTAATTTTCCATTTGATGTTTAAGTATCTAGCCTGGATCATGTTTACCTGAATGTTTGTGTATCACAAAAACAGATGTTGTATGAAATAGACTTAAGATGCATAAAAAGTGAAACAGTCGCTGCTTGTCACGTCCAAGCTGAAGCAGAGGATGGAACATTACTGAGCTGAAGAATATTTGATCAGCAGAGAGAATATTTGACTGATACACAGAAAACTGACTTCAAAATTGCAGCTTATCTAAAAGCATCCAAATGGAAACTTCAGACGCGGCTCAGCGGAGGAGATAAAGGCCGGCGTTCACAGGAGCGGACAGAACGCCAAAATGTAAAACAACAAAATTATTCCGTCTGCTTCAGCGTGTGAACAACAATCAGCTGGTTTCTCCTCACAGACTGGCAGTGCTCAGTGTGAATCAGTGGAACACGGTGTGATGAATGTTGTGTGTTGTTTCATGTTGTATACCATAAAAACCTGCTGAGGCCTCTGTAGCACCACTGTGTGTTCATGTTTTCATAAAAGCATGAAACTTGGTGCATTTGTACAGTTTGAAGTCGGAATATGTTCAGAAATGGAGCCAAAATG